ACTTTTATTAGCCATTGTTTCATTTTTTCGGCATCTTTTGGAAACCGGAAATAGCTGCTGTATTTGTCGCTGCACCCCGGAACACAGCATTTCTGATGCTTTTCAATTAACAAACTGGGAGAAGACATTTTGAGATAATAAATATTGATAATTGATAGGTAATTGATAATTCTAAATGTTGGGAGAAGTTCAAAATTTAAATTTTGACGACTGGAAATGACAAAATAAACTTCAAATCTTGGCGCACGGTCCGGCAGGAAAAAGAAAACTTTAATAGGTTGATTGAAGCGCCTCTAGTGATTGGAGGGAAAAGCTGAAACGACTAGACTGACGTCTCTCATAAGACTTACATTTCTAAGGGGGGATGTTTTGTGGTCAACAAGTCTGTCAATTAATTGTAATTTTTCCATAAAATCATTATAAAAACTACTGTATTTTTAATAAAAGTATTTAAAGGTGCCAGTGTTATCCACTGCATTAAAGAAAACAATAAAAACTAATTCCAACCTGCAGGGACACGGCATTTTGTGACCAATCAGGGACAAGCGGTATTGTTTACCTTCCAAAGTTTTCAATGTCCAAATCCATCTTGAGGAAAAATACACTTTAGAAGTGTTTATTTTTGTTTGATTCTTTATCATAAGTGTCAGTGTATCCTTATTCAGAGGATGAATTGTTTTTCAATATGCGATCCGAAGATGTTGCACGAGCTGTTGCATTGAATGATGATGGACGTGATATACGCTACATCGCTAATGTGTTGGGCAGAGCCAGAAGCACTGTACACGATGCAATTAGTCGCTTTCGTCAGACTGGTGAGTACACACGACGTCCAGGATCTGGGAGACCCCGCGTCACAAACCAGCAAGATGATCATTTTATTACTGTAACTGCTTTACGAGACCGCACAAGAGCTTTCTGGACAAACCGTTTGCCGTAGACATGAACAAGGATTGATGTCAGGGAGACCGGCGGCTTATCCAGCTTCACAAGCAGCCCATCGTACTCAACGGTTAAATTTTGCCCTTATCCATAGAGAGACTGGAATGACGGAGAGTGGAGATGTGTCACCCGATGGACAAGAGCCTGTATGGCGAAGACGGGGAGACGATTTCAGTGGCGGTTCGCCCATATGGGCAAGGTGGGCTCCGCCACCCTGGAGAAAAAATGGGAAAATAAAAAATGCTTTTAATACAATATTTGAGAAGGCCGCGAGCTTGGAAATCTAAAAAAAAATCGCCTACGGCTGTTTTTTATTTTTGTCGCCCCGCCTTATTTGGGCCGCCACTGGACGATTTTCCGACTGTTGCATTTCTCCAAGAACACCTTTCGGAGGCGATAGTATCATGGTGTGGGCTGACATCTCACGCCCGTACTGCCCTGGTTTTTATCGAAAATGACGATAAAATGCTAACCGTTATATTGAGGAATGTTAAGCGGTCCACGTTATTACTTTTGCTCCATTTGTTGGAGAATTTTTTTCTTTAATGCACGACAATGCCAGGCCTCATGTTGCAAGAGTTGTCAGTGATCATCTTGATGAAGCAGAGATTCAACGATTGGACTGGCCTCCACGTAGCCCTGATCTTACCCCATTGAGCATGTGTGGGACATGTTAGGGAGGCTAATTCGCAGTCGACAACCGGAAATCATTCGAGATCTCCGAAGAGCTCGTCTCGAAGAGTCGGAAAACATTCCGCAAAGAGCTATTGCCAATTGTATTGAGAGATTACCACGTCGCATGGCAGCAGTTATTAGAGCACATGGAGGTAATACCCAATATTAGTGTTTGTTTATTTGTTGAAATTATCTGTCATGTTTTTAATTTTTGTTATTGGTATAAATTGCATTGCTACTCTAAGAACTTGTGCTTCCTTTGAGATTGAAGATATTGATGTGAATTGAAAAAAGACATGTTAAGAAGTGATAAGGCTTAAGAATGTCCTGCAATTACGCATGATTGTGTCGTTGAGTTATTCCACAGAGTGTTCAGAAGTTTGGGACCAAATGCAACTTATGGTTCCACCCTGTATAACACCAAATTCATTCGAACTTTTTGCAAACACAATATTAAATAATGATCAAGATAAACGCGCCTACCATTTGACAAAAAATTATCAATTTCGATGCAAAATTGGAAAAATTATTAAGGATTGAAATTTAACAAAATTTTGTTTGTCCGGTTTTTTATGTCCAGGAGAGTATTTTAAATGCATTTTATATCATACGCTTGCTTGCTGGTAACTATCTGCCAGATAAATTTACCGTTGTATAATTCTATTGGTCGGCGGATAACTGGTCGACCAATGAGATTACATATTTAGTTTTTATCCGTCAGATTGCATACCTGACAGTTTATCAAGAGGTGAATAAACCGGTACTGGGTACTAAAAATTATATTTCAGTTTTTTTGCCTGCGTGCTTGGAACTCAAGAACAAATAATCATCATTAAATTGGATGACAATTCCGGCATAATTCCAGTCAAATTAGGGTACGCGAAAATCAAAGATTACACCTACACCCTGATACATTATTATGACTTGAACGTAAACAACTAAGACAGCTGTGAGCGTGCGCAGTAGATACATGTGCTGTGCTTGCGCAAAATATAGCCAATGAAAATGAAGGACATTTCAAAATTTAGAACAGTTGTTCAAAATAAAACACTGCGCAAGCGTTGGCTGTTCCGTTGCACAACTGTTCGTGAATATTGACCCCAAAATTTTCGCACAAGTTTAGCCAATCAAGCTGTACGATTGTTTATCCATTTATTATTTTATTCACATAAAATCTAATAATATTACACACATTCTTAATGGACATCAAGACTATTTTGAAGACATTAGCAATTACATAAGGGGATTAATTAACGGCTTAGGCTTAATATTCAAATCTGTATCTAACTGAAAACCTAGACGCATCTGACGGAGAACATTATATGAGCACATCATTACGGAATTACAAAACAATCAAAATAAAATATTTTACAAGAAAATGTTCTGAAACAAAATTCGCTTTCTCTAACAGTAATCGAAAAATTGAACCAAACTATTAAATAAATAAATCAGAACGAAAAACTGCTATAATCAAAAATTAACCAAATTGCACACACGGTACAGAGAAGGCAGCATATAGATGAGAAAGTTCCCTCTATATCAAAGACATAATAAATCAAATACCTAGTCAATATCTATGAGATAATTGATTCTATTTTACAAGATATAGAAAATTCCTTAACTTTTTCAAAATTGAAAATTATTCATCCAAGTACCTGTAATAAAAACTGAAGACCTTTATCATGAATTAAACAAACTACAACAGCGTTTGAGTTCTGAACAAATGTCCCTAGCGGTCACTTTGGAAAATAATACACTTTTTGAAAAAATAATCGAACTGGAATCTTTTGTTTTTAATAATAGAATAACATACCTAATACATATACCAATAATGTATTCGGAAACTTTTGATTACTTTCATTTATACTCGGTTCCAATCCTTTCTCAGAGTCAGTTTAAGGTTTTCTTACCGCGAAATAGATTCTTGCTGAAAAATAAATTGCATTACACATACTATGGTTAAGAATGTCTAGAAATCATTCCGAAGTTCACAGCCCATGCGAAAGTAAACTACTCCACTCTGACAAAAATACCTCCACCTGGCTCAATCGATTGGATGATTCCAATCAATGGATATTGGTAGCTCCTGTCAAAGAACCCATCCAGCTCAAGTGCTTTCAACAAAAAGTACAAATCATTAGAACATTTATGCTTCAAATACCGATTGGTTGCCAAGTGGCCACCGCTTCCAAAATAGTTATCAACGAAAATAGGTTAATCAAGACCGATATTCAACCACTACTGTTTTCTAATATACCAATCTAAGTCGACATCTAAAATATCTGAAATTAGACGACCTTCACCAATTGATGAGCAAAGAAGTAATGGACATACAACAACTGAGTTTCACTGAAATCAATAGAATACCCAGCCTTGGGACAATCCTTATATATGTCCTCATTGTTGGCTGTATCTTCTTGGTTTACATGAAATATGTAAAAGCCATCATGAAGAAGAAGAGGTCCACCCCCGCTCCAGAAGAAAACCAGAGTATTCAACTTCCCCGTTAGTGTGGAAGTTGAAGCTAAGAAGGGAGGAGTTATAGCACATAATTGTAACATTTATTGTAGCGTGCTTTCGCTAATAATAATTTCGGAGTATTAATAAAGTTATTTTTTAAAAACCAACTCTCGGTTTCTGACTTGTTAACTTACTAGAAAAAGTTGTTTTACAGTTTATAAACCATCAAATTTTATTGTTTATGATGTTTTGACTTAATGGATGAATATTTAACTGCATTTTATCACTTGACCTAGCAAACTTAGTGCGAATAAATTTTACAAAGTCATTGACCATGGAGCTAAATACCTATACTTAAGAGATAGGTAATAAAAATAAAAAATATGTAATTAGGCGCTTATTATTGGCGTTTAAATCGTTTCAGGAATTGGAATTATACAGGTTTTTGTTTCAGATTAGATGGTTTTTGTCAAGGAAAACCATTACATAAAATTTAATGGTTTTCAATCAAATTGAGAAATAATTTGCGCTTCAAATATATTTTTTTTTTTTTTATAAAACTATTTAATCGTTGCTAATGAATTGGTGAAGCCAAAATATGTCGGTTGAAACTAACAGCAACAAAAGTCTGTATTTTCTCCAAAGTCAAGTAAAAAATATTATAAGGATTGAAAGTGCATCATTATTTACGTAAGAATTGTTAGCTTTTGCACCTGAAAATAATCTAAAAATAGGAAAAAACGATTTGATGCTTTTCGAAGTAAAAACTTCAAAATGTCATAGAAATCCACTTATACTCTTGTATAGAAATTTACATTAAACTACTTGATGTTATAAAAACTAGTGCCTAATGTCGATGGATTTCGCAGTATAGGTATACCTACATTTGAAAAGTTTCGAGAAATTTTGAATTACCTACTCACCAATAAATTTAAATCCATATTGCGCACTAAAACTGCACTCGTAAGAAGGTATAACAATTGTCCTTCTCTCAGCTAGACAAGTTATTTTCCAACGTTCAATCGAAACTGATATAAAGAAACGACAAAACTGAATTATTTATAAACAAATTCACGTCATACGATTCTCCTTCGCTTATTCTTTTATTAATAAGTTAATCAAATAATATATAATTCGTGACCGTCTGCATAGATTATAGGTTTTGAGATTTTGACAAGAAAAATGTGCATAATTTACGCGAGAACGTGTTTTTTAAGATCCGTGTTAAAGTTTTTATTAACACTATAAGAGTTAATAACTAAGATTTTTTTTTCTAGTTTGCACGTAAAAATATTCTGTCTACATTTTTACTCTACCACATCTGCTTGTTATTTATGGTATTTTGTTATAACAATTATTTTTATTTTTGTTTCTTTTATTTTATTTTTATTGTATTTTAATTTAATTTTTCTGTGTGAATTAAGTTTCCGTTTCGGTCAACTTTGTTTTTAAAAACTATTTATTTTCAAAACTAAGTATTACAAATGAAAACTTTAAACTTTTCTAAGTGAAACGCTGGATATTATTGTTTATGAGGGAACAACAGCTTCTTTATTAGTTTGCAATATAATTCCTCCCTTCTTAGGTGGTTGCAAATTGGGGTTGATGTGCCAAGTTAGGCAACTCAATTTGAACTTCAATTTTTACATTTTTCCTTAATTTATGTTTGAAATATAAAATGGTTATACTAATCATAAAAATTACAGTTAAAACTATGAATATACATATGTGGATATATGGTTATTTAAAAAGGTTAACTCTTTCAAGGGTCGAACTTCAAGTTATGTTGCTTCTTGTATAGCTTCTTGAAGGGTTCTGGTCTACTGTTTTCAGTTTAACCGTCGTGATGTTTTCAGGAAAAATAGGAACATCTATTTTGGGTATCTTGAGTTCCAAATTGAAGTTTTCTTTAATGTCTTTGGAAAATGTGTGATTATTGGCATGTTTGTTGTTCACTAATAATTTTAATGATGGTATGAACACAGGGCCCATTTTGGGTTAATGTTTCAAAATTGCATAAGTATACGTCTTCGTATAGGGCACTCATTTAAAGCATTAAAATATGTGTCTGTTGTAAGTAACAAATAGGGATGCTTAATATTAATGATATAATTCTGGATAGGAATAAGATAGAGTTTATACTTCAAAAAAGGTTTTGGGTTTATAGATTGTAAACATAATCAATTCCTTTTGAATGCTTACTGTTGTCGACATTGTTTCGTAATACTTCATTACGTTATCAAATGGTATTTGCTGATTCATGGGTATATTTTTAAGAATCTGGTTGAGTTCATTGTGCTGCGATATAGTGTAATGCATAATGCCTGATTGTGCAAAGTTGATAGCGAGTTGTATGTGATTTATCAGATCTCGTATCTTGCTACTCTCTGCATAATAATGTTATCTAGTATTAGGTTGAAAGTTCAAAGTTATAATCGTCTGTAGATTCTTATTATTCGCAGAAATATTTTTTATTCTCTGTGAAATGACTACTGGATTATTCTCTATGCTTAAGAATTAGTCATGATCTTTGGTCTTTGTAACTTGTTTAAGGATTTGTGCTTGATCTTTCAAATTTTCATTATTACTTAATAGTTCGTTGATTTTCATTCAACGTTCGAATATATGAGTCATTCATCTAGCATTGTTTTCGGCGTCAAGTGTTCCGTACAGCCATTTTTGTGCTGTTCCTATGAAATTCAAGATTCCTCGTTTACTTCGATAATTGCTTTAGGAATTTCTTTATTGTCTCAATTCGTGATTTCAATATTTGCTTCGAATGAAGCAGCAATATAGTCTTTAGACCAAGCAGTTTGGTTCAAAGTGCTGTTTAAATTCTTAAGCGTTTTTTTAAAAGTTCTAATACTTTTCTTTATAATAGTTGTATTAATATGGTAGTATGCAGTATTATGATCGTTTGTTATGTATTTTTTTGTTGTTTAGGTTGTCGTTTTACGTTTTGTTTACTTAATCGTAGTTGAGTAGGTATATTAATGTCATATCGAGGGCTTGTTCTATTTCTATCGAATTGTTTGATAAAAATAGGGTGTTCTAGTTGGAGTTCTGTTTCGCGTTTTTTATTGATTTTCTCTAAATTTTGCGTTTGTTTTGTTATTAGTTTGTCATAAATAACGTTATTTAGAGGTTCTAAACAGTCAGCGACTATTATAATTTAAAATAGCAACAATCATGATATCGTTTATGCTTTTGAGTGGATATTGCAATTTTAGGCTAGTTACGGCTATTTGCACCGCTAATTTAAGGGATATTTAATCCTAGTGAAGCTTTGAATGTGACTCTTGTAGAAACAAAAGTCACATTCAAAGATCAACTTAGATTAAATATCCCTTAAGTGATAGCCGTGCAAATAGCTATTATACTTTCTCGTAAAGTGAAATAGAGTGTAGCCTTTCAAACGGACTGTTAGAGTTCGGACTTCGAGGTGTCGTGTCAGGGGCGGATGGGCCGGCAGGGATTTTGGAAAGTTTCCCGAAGGGCCACTTGCTTCTAGGCCGGGGGTGTTTCACGAACATCGAAACAGGGGCGTTTAAGAGTATTTTAAGGTCGATTTAAAAAAAAAACGCTCGAACACATTTTTGTATTCAAGGGGGAAACTTTTTGACACCGTCGGTATTTTGCTAAGTTGCACCCCCTGGGTGGGGTAACTCTCACCTCACTTTTTTAAATAGGGAAGATGGGGCGAGTGGTACCGTGTTTTAAAAGTATTTTGATTCTCGACACAACTGCGTATTTTTTTTGAAGATCGAGTAATTAGTTCTCAAGATAATCACTGTCAAAGTTGCCATGGGATAAACAGTCTTCTGGCCCTGTTATTCTCGAATTAACACTTTTCTAATTTTCCTCTTGGACACGTCAATTTCCATTTTTTGTGTGCTTCTGAAAAAATAAAAATTGGCCGTATCCCCACTGTACATTCATTTATTATCCTAAATCGAGCCACGAAATTTCCTGATCTGAGATTTAGAAAAATACATAAAATGGTTTTAAAATGAGTATTTTATATTTTTACTTCCAAATACCCCTATTCTATTCTTTTCTCTCCTCTGGGGTGTGTGGACACCTGCACCAAAAAAAATTGGGACTAATAGGTTTTGAAGCTGCGTGACCTTGAACTTAAAAAAAAAAAAAAATTGGCTGCGGCGCGATTCATTCACAGCCCCCAACATCAAATATTGATCTAGCAGGTCGGGCCGCATGTAAGCACTTCGTACATGGATATGGCAAATAGTCTGTATCCACGCTTTCCGATTAGTTGATTCCAGATAGCAGTACGTTCTGCCATTGCGGAGTCATAGTCATGTACCATCGTCACCAAAAGTATTGTCTGGCTAGCCAAACGACGAACTGCAGTAGAATTTGCTGCTTTGCCAAACTTAACGGAAACAGTAATAAACAAGTTGGTGACATATTTTTTTTTGCTATGTGGGATTTGTGGTATTTTGAAATAGAAAAAAATCCGGCAACATTGCGAAATGATGGATGTGGAGAGGCGCGATTATTCAGAGGCATGATTCTATTGGTTAGAGCCTAAGGTTCGAGCCTGAACGACAGCACAGTGGCGTGGTTATTCGCGAAACTCTAAAAAAAAAATCTAATTATTTAATTGGTTCATTTCCTTGGTGTTTTCGGTGCCACTGAAACCATCAAAGACATGGCTGTCATCAAGCGGTGTCAGTTGAGGTGTCAGTGAATATTCTTAGGTTACGCCTCATTTTTCTTCCCCCTTTCGTCTCTATCAACTTACCACTTGCCAGACTATAACTGGGACAGCATCATATAGGGCAAGTACACGATCTGACAGTTTGACACTATTGACAGTCGCCTTGAGGTTAAACAAAGATATAATTTACAGTGTTTTTTAAGTTTTTAGTTAGATTTTTTTAAATAAATACCTTTTGTGTGCTCCAGAAATTTCTTGGACATGCCTATAGAGTTTGTTTAGTTGTTAATTGTGGCAGTATAGCGCAAGGGATACAATATCCTTTCATAGATTTCCATCAATTTTAATTAATTTGATTTGTTAGCTCAAGAAAGAAGAGAAAAATTGATTAATGTTGTTAGAAGAGAAGATATGATAGAAAAATAGATTGAATATAGAGTAACTATGCTTTTATATTTGTTCTTGAGACACTTGGTTTTGATATTTATTGGAAAAAACCTGAATTTAATCCATTATAGGAAAACCTAGCAAACTTTTGGATAAACCACCGCATAGACTGGAACACAAACACTCCGCTCTAACTTTTTAAAAACAAAATAACACCAAAACTTGTAAAAAAAGCTGTGAAAACCGCGTAAAACATAACCGGCCTAATCTACACGAATGTAAATAAATGATTTGTTTTACCTCAGGGCGATTGTCAAATTAATTTGTGACGTCACATGGACATGCCCTATAAGCTCCTGTACTATATATTATATATGTATTATATTATATTATTTTTAGTGTCAAATATTTGTCAAACAATGAATGGAATCCAATAACCCTTTTCACGTGGCTCCGGTTTAACAAACCGCAACATACCGCTCAAATTCGAGTGGTAGGTATCCATCACGTCACTTTGTAACCGGGTTAGAAAACGATATGTCATTTCTCTAACCGTTTTGTAACCCGGTTAGTTGAACCGGAGCCACGTGAAAAGAACTATTGAAATGAATGGCGGTAGAATTAGTCTAGGAGACTATTATGAACTATTTTTGTCCCAGATACTTTTGGTGACGATGGTACGTTTTGCAGATGAATTAAAAATGCATGTGTATGCCAGATAACAGTACATATTGGCAGAGTCGCGTCATCTCCGTGTACGTTATGCCAGTAAATTAAAATTGCATGAGAATTTTTTTAAAAGATTTATTGCTATAATGTATAATATCTTGCTCTATTCTTCCTGCCCACCACCACCTCCAAAACCCTAACAAAAAAAATCCCCCCCATCATCTGTTACACCAAAGAATCATGAGTAGCACTCCAACTCCAGCACATCCAGTATTATACAGTGAGG